CCTGTTCACCTCCTCCCTCCAGGCACTACCCTGCTACCTCCTCCTCCCATGGCACTACCCTGTCCACCTCCTCCCCCTCCCATGGCACTCACCACCCTGTCTACTTCCCTCCCTCCCATGGCACTACCCTGTCTACCTCCCTCCCTCCCATGGCACTCCCTGTCTACTTCCTCCCTCCCATGGCACTACCCTGTCTACCTCCTCCCATGGCACTACCCTGTCTACCTCCCTCCTCCCATGCTCCCTGCACCCTCTCCTCCCTCCCATAACACTACTCCTGTCTACTTCCTCCTCCTCCCATGGCACTACCCTGTCTACTCCCTCCCTCCCAACTACCCCACTTCCTCCCATAACACTACCATGTAAGAGAATCACAACAGATCAACAAAATTGAAAAGATGTTAATTTTGAGGAAAGAGTCAGTTTAATGTTCATGTATGGAGAGCCACACACACACACACACACACACACACACACACACACACACACACACCACACACACTCAAGAATTCAATTGACAACACCCGGGTCAGTGTTCAGGTCAGAGAGAGAGAGGAGCAGAGTGATCCAACTTTGAACGAACGAGAGAGAGAGAGAGAGAGAGAGAGAGAGAGAGAGAGAGAAAACGAAATACAAAACTACAAGATATAGTGGATTTAGATGTTGCCTGGTTTTGTTGTTGTTGTTGAAGGTGTTGTTGTTGTTATTGTTGAAGGTGTTGTTGTTATTGTTGAAGGTGTTGTTGTTATTTTTAAGGTGTTGTTGTTATTGTTGAAGGTGTTGTTGTTATTGTTGAAGGTGTTGTTGTTATTGTAAGTGTTGTTGTTATTGTTGAAGGTGTTGTTATTGTTGAAGGTGTTGTTGTTATTGTTGAAGGTGTTGTTGTTATTGTTGAAGGTTGTTGTTATTGTTGAAGGTGTTGTTGTTATTGTTGAAGGTGTTGTTGTTGTTGTTGTGAAGGTGTTGTTGTTGTTGTTGTTAAGGTGTTGTTGTTGTTATTGTTGAAGGGTTGTTGTTATTGTTGAAGGTGTTGTTGTTATTGTTGAAGGTGTTGTTGTTATTGTTGAAGGTGTTGTTGTTATTGTTGAAGGTGTTGTTGTTGTTGAAGGTGTTGTTGTTGTTGTTGAAGTGTTGTTGTTATTGTTGAAGTTGTTGTTGTTATTGTTGAAGTTATTGTTGTTATTGTTGAAGGTGTTGTTGTTATTGTTGAAGGTGTTGTTGTTGTTGTTGAGATTGTTGTTGTTGTTATTGTTGAAGGTGTTGTTGTTGTTGTTGAAGGTGTTGTTGTTGAAGGTGTTGTTGTTGTTGTTGAAGGTGTTGTTGTTATTGTTGAAGGTGTTGTTGTTGAAGGTGTTGTTGTTGTTGTTGAAGTGTTGTTGTTGTTGTTGAAGGTGTTGTTGTTATTGTTGAAGTTGTTGTTATTATTGTTGAAGGTGTTGTTGTTATTGTTGAAGGTGTTGTTGTTATTGTTGAAGGTGTTGTTGTTGGAAGTTATTGTTGTTGTTATTGTTGAAGGTGTTGTTGTTGTTGAAGGTGTTGTTTATTGTGTTGAAGTGTTGTTGTTATTGTTGAAGGTGTTATTTGTTATTGTTGAAAGGTGTTGTTGTTATTGTTGAAGGTGTTGTTGTTATTGTTGAAGGTGTTGTTATTATTGAAGTTGTTATTGTTGTTATTGTTGAGGTGTTGTTGTTATTGTTGAAGGTGTTGTTATTGTTGAAGTTGTTGTTGTTGTTATTGTTGAAGGTGTTGTTGTTATTGTTGAAGGTGTTTTTGTTATTTGTTGTTATTGTTGAGGTGTTGTTGTTATTTTTGAAGGTGTTGTTGTTATTGTTGAAGGTGTTGTTGTTGTTGTTGTTGTTGAAGGTGTTGTTGTTATTTTGAAGGTGTTGTTGTTATTGTTGAAGGTGTTGTTATTGTTGATGTTGTTGTTGTTGTTATTGTTGAAGGTGTTGTTGTGTTGAAGGTGTTGTTGTTGTTGTTGTTATTTTTGAAGGTTTTGTTGTTATTGTTGAAGGTGTTGTTGTTGTTGTTGTTATTGTTGAGGTTGTTGTGTTGAAGTTTTTGTTGTTATTGTTGAAGGTGTTGTTGTATTGTTGAAGGTGTTGTTGTTATTGTTAAGGTGTTGTTGTTGAAGGTGTTGTTGTTGTTGTTGAAGGTGTTGTTGTTATTGTTGAAGGTGTTGTTGTTGAAGGTGTTGTTGTTGTTGTTGAAGGTGTTGTTGTTATTGTTGAAGTTGTTGTTGTTATTGTTGAAGGTGTTGTTATTGTTGAAGTTGTTGTTGTTGTTATTGTTGAAGGTGTTGTTGTTGTTGTTGAAGGTGTTGTTGTTATTGTTGAAGTTGTTGTTGTTATTGAAGGTGTTGTTATTGTTGAAGTTGTTGTTATTATTGTTGAAGGTGTTGTTGTTATTGTTGAAGTTGTTGTTATTATTATTGAAGAGTGTTGTTGTTGTTGTTGTTGTATTGTATTGTTGTTGTTGTTGTTGTTGATGCTGTTGTTGAAGGTGTTGTTGAAGGTGTTGTTGTTGTTGTTATTGTTGTTATAGGTGTCAGGTGGCGGTGTAGACAACATTCTCTCCTCTGAACAGAGATAAAAATCAAAAGTGAATCAGGAGAGAGAGAAGTTTGGAGAGCGTTGGTTATTCATACAGGAATATGTTGAGGACAGCTTAGGTAGGGGGTGTAGTGTGGGGGGGTGTGTGGGGGAGGTGTGTGTGGGGTGTAGTGTGTGTGGGGGGGTGTGTGTGGGGAGGTGTGTGTGGGGGTGGTGTGGGGAGGTGTGTGTGTGGGGGTGTAGTGTGTGTGTGGGGTGTGTGTGGGGTGTAGTGTGGGTGTGTGTGTGTGGGGAAGGTGTGTGTGTGATTTTATTTTGATTTTGTCGCTTGCATACTTTGTGCACTCCACACTCATCCTGTGAGCGGTAGCGCAAAAGGATTACAGAGTAGGGTTTACAAAGGGTCATAATAATTAACCCCGGTTGTCAGGATATTATGGCACCGAAAGTTACACAGTATTTCATTTACATTATTTGTTTAGTTTTATACATAAAGGGTAACTTATTCACAAATGCGTGAGAACAGGCGTGTGAGGCAGTATGTCTGGCCTCACACTTTGTTATTCACATTTACGTGAGAGGTATTCAAGCACATTGCGTATTTGGTTCTGTACATGAGAACTGATAAAGTTACTGAGTGCAAAAAAGTGGATACAATCTTAATATGTCGGCTATCTTGCCATTAGAGATGAAGTGTTGTGGGTGTGTGTGAGGGGTGTGGGTGTGAGGGGGTGTGGGGTAGTGGTGTGGTGTGGGGGGGGTGGGGGTGGGGGGGGGGTGGGGGGTGTGGGGTGGGGTGGGGTGTAGTGTGGGTGTGTGTGGGGTGTGTGGGGGTGTAGGTGTGTGTGGGGAGGGTGCGGGGTGGGGGTGTGTGTATGTGTCAAGACTATAGCAGGGAGAGAGAAATGGAATTGGAATCTACACACGATTAAAATAAACAAACAAAGATCCAGAGAGTGATGTTGCTTCATGTTGCAGGGTTAAAGAGTGATGTTGCTTCATGTTGCAGGATTAAAGAGTGATGTTGCTTCATGTTGCAGGATTAAAGAGTGATGTTGCTTCATGTTGCAGGGTTAAAGAGTGATGTTGCTTCATGTTGCAGAGTTAAAGAGTGATGTTGCTTCATGTTGCAGGATTAAAGAGTGATGTTGCTTCATGTTGCAGGATTAAAGAGTGATGTTGCTTCATGTTGCAGGATTAAAGAGTGATGTTGTTTTATATTACAGACTAAAGAGGATGTTGTTTCATGCTGTGGTGATTAAAGAGTGATGTTGCTTCATGTTGCAGGATTAAAGAGTGATGTTGCTTCATGTTGCAGGATTAAAGAGTGATGTTGCTTCATGTTGCAGGATTAAAGAGTGATGTTGCTTCACATTACAGGATTAAAGAGTGATGTTGCTTCATGTTGCAGGGTTAAAGAGTGATGTTGCTTCATATTACAGGATTAAAGAGTGATGTTGCTTCATGTTGCAGGATTAAAGAGTGATGTTGCTTCATATTACAGGATTAAAGAGTGATGTTGCTTCATGTTGCAGGATTAAAGAGTGATGTTGCTTTATATTACAGTATTAAAGAGTGGTGTTGCTTCATGTTGCACGATTAAAGAGTGATGCTGTTTCATGTTGCAGGGATAAAGAGTGATGTTGCTTCATGTTGCAGGACTAAAGAGTGATGTTGCTTCATGTTGGAGGATTAAAGTGATGTTGCTTCATGTTGCAGGATTAAAGAGTGATGTTGCTTCATGTTGGAGGATTAAAGAGTAATGTTGCTTCATATTGCAGGACTAAAGAGTGATGTTGCTTCATATTACAGGACTAAAGAGTGATGTTGCTTCATGTTGGAGGATTAAAGTGATGTTGCTTCATATTACAGGACTAAAGAGTGATGTTGCTTCATGTTGGAGGATTAAAGAGTAATGTTGCTTCATATTGCAAGACTAAAGAGTGATGTTGCTTCTTATTACAGGATTAAAGAGTGATGTTGTTTCATGTTGGAGGATTAAAGAGTGATGTTGCTTCATGTTGGAGGATTAAAGTGATGTTGCTTCATATTACAGGACTAAAGAGTGATGTTGCTTCATGTTGGAGGATTAAAGTGATGTTGCTTCATATTACAGGACTAAAGAGTGATGTTGCTTCATGTTGTAGGATTAAAGAGTAATGTTGCTTAATGTTGCAGGATTAAAGAGTGATGTTGCTTCATATTGCAGGATTAAAGAGTGATGCTGCTTCATATTACAGGATTAAAGAGTGATGTTGTTTCATGTTGGAGGATTAAAGAGTGATGTTGCTTCATGTTGGAGGATTAAAGTGATGTTGCTTCATATTACAGGATTAAAGGGTGATGTTGCTTCATGTTGTAGGATTAAAGAGTGTCAGTACAGCAAATTACAGATACATGTACAGTACAAGAGTTTCATGAATAAAACAAAAACAAGAACCTTGAAATTCAACACTGATCTATGTAGTGGAGAGTGTTGCAGCTGTAGGAGTACTGGTGTTGTAGCTGTAGGGGACTGGTGTTGTAGCTGTAAGGGGACTGGTGTTGCAGCTGTAGGAGCACTGGTGTTGTAGCTGTGGGGACTGGTGTTGTAGCTGTGGGGACTGGTGTTGTAGCTGTAGGGGACTGGTGTTGTAGCTGTAGGGGACTGATATTGTCGCTGTGGGGGACTGGTGTTGTAGCTGTAGGGGACTGGTGTTGTAGCTGTAGGGGGACTGGTGTTGTAGCTGTAGGGGGACTGGTGTTGCAGCTGTAGGAGTACTGGTGTTGTAGCTGTGGGGGACTGGTGTTGCAGCTGTAGGAGTACTGGTGTTGTAGCTGTGGGGGACTGGTGTTGTAGCTGTGGGGGACTGGTGTTGTAGCTGTAGGGGACTGGTGTTGTGCTGTGGGGGACTGGTGTTGTAGCTGTAGGGGGACTGGTGTTGTGGCTGTAGGGGGACTGGGTGTTGTAGCTGTGGGGGACTGGTGTTGTAGCTGTGGGGACTGGTGTTGTAGCTGTGGGGGACTGATATTGTCGCTGTGGGGGACTGGTGTTGTAGCCATAGGGGACTGGTGTTGTAGCTGTAGGGGACTGGTGTTGTAGCTGTAGGGACTGGTGTTGTAGCTGTAGGGGACTGGTGTTGTAGCTGTAGGGGACTGGTGTTGTAGCTGTAGGGGACTGGTGTTGTAGCTGTGGGGGACTGGTGTTGTGTGTGGGGGGACTGGTGTTACAGCAGTAGGGGGACTGGTGTTGTAGATGTAGGGGACTGGTGTTGTGGCTGTAGGGGACTGGTGTTGTAGCTGTGGGGGACAGCGTTGCAGCAGTAGGGGGACTGGTGTTGTAGCTGTGGGGACTGGTGTTGTAGCTGTGGGGGACTGGTGTTGTAGCTGTGGGGACTGGTGTTGTCGCTGTGTGGGGGACTGGTGTTGTAGCTGTAGGGGACTGGTGTTGTAGCTGTAGGGGACTGGTGTTGTAGCTGTAGGGGACTGGTGTTACAGCAGTAGGGGGACTGGTGTCTATAAGCTGACACCTGTAAGCCAGCAGAAACAGGCGCCAATGCCCCTCACCCCCCTTACCTGAACCACACACACCTGGCTCACAGTGACAGGATAATCAGCAGAGTGCAAACGGCGTAAGTGAGAAGAGGAGGAGGAGGAGGAACAGGAGGAGGAGGAGGAACAGGAGGAGGAGGAACAGGGGAGGAGGAGGAAGAGTAGGAGGAGGCAGCAAGAGAAGGAGGAGGAGGAGAAGGAGCAACAGCAGAGGGGAAGCAAAAGGAGGAGGAGGAGGACAAGAGGAGGAGGAGAAGGAGAACAGGAGGAGCAAGAGAAGGAGGATGATACAATGAAGAAATATGGAATTATACCGACCTGAGACGTGAAGGTGAGTAAGGAGAGTGTGAGGAGTGTGTGAGGAGTGCGAGAAGAGTGTGTGAGAATGTGTGAGTGTGTAAATAGAATGTGAGAAGTGAATGTAAGGAGAGTGCGAGGCGACAGTGTGTATGTTTGTGTGTGTGTGAGAGAAGAATGTTGTGTTGTCAAAGTAAGAAACAATTGAGACCCTGCATTTGTGTGTAAATGAGGCAGAAAGTCAGTCACAATTTTCGTGATGCCATATGCAGCAAGGGTCTACCATTAGACAACACATTATGCTTCAATATCTTCCCAGGCAGTAGTACCTCCTGTTTGATAGCTGCCTACTACCAAGCATCCGTTTAACGTGCATCCACACGGACATCCGATAAACATTGATCCGATTAACATTGAGCCTTTTAAACTGCATCCGGTTGAGATACAATTTCTCCTTCAAAATACTATATTAAACGAGGTGTGTGTGTGTGTGTGTGTGTGTGTGTGTGTGTGTGACAGACTCGTGAGCACCATCCTCTCCACCACAGTCCTGGGAAAACACCTCACCTTATTGCCACTAATGACTTCCTCTGACAGCCCGCCTCATGGTCCGCTGGTTATGTCCCGCCTCACAGCTCAATACCTGACTTGTGTGTGCCGAGTGGTGAAGGCCGGACGATTTTGCTATGATGTAATAGTTGAGCCTTTAGATAGTTACTGGATGGGCAGTCTCCCTCTCTCTCTCTCTCTCTCTCGTGTGTGTGTGAGAGAGAGAGAGAGAGAAAAGTAGGTGGGGGGTGTAAGGTACAACAGCTATCCGTCAAGTCGGCTGAGTATTGTTGTTGCCTTTGTGTTTCATACTTTACCGCCACCACTTGCTACTTCCTGTGAACCTCCGCGCCCCACTCCTCCACCTCCTCTACTCCTGTTGTCGCTGTTGGTGCTGCTGCTGCTGCTGTCTCTGATGCTGCTGTTGTCGCTGTTGGTGCTGCTTCTATTAATTCCAGGGCACTCCTCAGTATCCGGTGGTAGGAGAATCTTGCTATTCCCGCGACGACGAATTTGCTGCGGGTGTTGGTGTTTCTCCTCAATGGTGTGCTTGTTGCCGCCTCCAGGTCACCGTTGCGTGCCGCCGTTGACTGCACCAGTCTCAGTGGCCAGCGTATGATAAGCTAATCACTGTCCTTATTGTTGTTGTTGTTGTTACTGCTGCTACTGTACTTGATGCTGTTATTGTTGTTGTTGATGCTCTTGTTGTTGGTGTCGTTTTTGTTGTTGTTGTTGTTGTTGTTGCTGTTTTGCTGTTGCTGTTGTTGTTTTGTTGTGGTTACTGCTGCTGCTACAGTTACTGCTACTGCTCCAGCGACGTAAATTGTGTCGGTCCAGCGGCTTCGGAGCAGTGGATGAGCAGGAGCTAGAGCCTTGAGTACGGCGACCAGCAGCGGAGGAGACGTACGTGTGTGTGTGTGTGTGTGTGTGTGTGTGTGTGTGTGTGTGTGTGACAGACAATTAATAGAAAATAGATGCAGAAATAGATAAACAGACAGAGAATAAAAGGGAAAACAGAGAGGCGAATAAAAAAAGAGAGAGAGAGAGAGTTTGCATATAACTCCATTGCAGAGGCAGGGGGCAGAATTAATTCAGGTCCCATTGTCCACCCCTCCCCCCCCTCGCTCACAGCTCCTTCACTCTGCTGTATTTCGTAGTCAAGGACGGCGGTGGAGTAATGGGTGTACACACACACACACACACAAAACACACACACAAAACACACACACACACAAAATCTAAAATATCACAAGTTTAACAGCTACAAAAATACGATACTGGATTTATTCAGAGGACCTTTAATAGAAACCCTGACATTTAGAACAATTTACCCCTCACAGAACCTAAGGATTTAGAACACTAACAAAAATCATATTCACAGGTAAAACCCCAATAATTATTATCATTGTTTACAAAAGTTTGGGACTGAGTGAAGATTGGGTGAAGTATTTACAGAGTGGGAGGTCACGGGTTCACTGACCTAATCAACACACATGTAAAAAAGATAATGAACTTAAAATAAACAGAATAAATAAATAGAAAATATTAAAAAAACAAGTATAATAAACTTAAAATAAACAGAATAAATAAATAACAGAAAATACTTAAAAAAACAAAGTATAATGAACTTAAAATAAACAGAATAAATAAATAATAGAAAATATTAAACAAAACAAGCATAATAAACTTAGAATAAATAGAAAATAATAAAAAGCCATAAAATACATTTCAAGACCGATAGAGCCCAGGTGTTCCGACAGCTTTAACGTAAACAACATGAATGGCGGGATGAGAGGTAGGGGAGGAGGAGGCAACAAGCGAGATGAAGGACTACTCCACTACCACCGAACACAGCATACCATCCTCTTTCACCATCACCACTACAACTATCACCATCTCCACCACCTCTACCACTACTACCATCTCCACCACCACCACATAATGTCAGGCTGTACAAAACAATGTCAATTAAAACGATCCGTTGCGGCGTCTGGTGGCGCTGCTTCTGGTGATGGAGGGAGGGGAGGGAGGGAGGAGAGAGGCTGCCAGCTGATGGGTGAGAGGACATATGACGCACCGCTGGGAGGAGGAGGGTTCGTACATAAGCGTAGAAAGAGAGATTACAGGAGCTCTGGACTAAGTTTGGTATACGGCGATCTTTAAGAAAATGTCTAGATAGTTAATGGGTATGAAGACCAACTGCCTCTCTTCCACTTCTTTTCCTCTTCTTCTTTTCTTCTTCTTTTTCTTTCTCCTCCTCCTCCTCTTGGTCAATTACCTCGAGACCGTCATCACACACACACACACACACACACACACACACACACACACACACACACCTGGTGGACTTCCTTGCACTTTCAGTCTTAGTGTGATAGACCAGACACACACCACCCAAGGGAGGAGGACGAGGGGAAGGGGGGAGGAGGACGGGGGAAGGGGGGAGAGGACGGGGGGAAGGGGAGGAGGCGAGGGGGGAAGGGAGGAGGACGAGGGGGAGGAGAGGGGGAGGGACAGGGGGGGGAGGAGGACGAGGGGGAAGGGAGGGGGACGAGGGGAGGGAGGGAGGACAGGAGGGGAGGGAGGACGAGGGAGGAGAGGGGACGGGGGGAGGGACGAGGGGGGAGGGGGAGGACGGGGGAGGGGGAGGAGGGACGAGGGGGGAGGGAGGAGGACGAGGGGAGGGAGGACGGGGGGAGAGGAGGACGAGGGGGGAGGGGAGGGAGGACGAGGGGGAGGGAGGAGAGACGGGGGAGGGAGGAGACGAGGAGAAGAGGGGGAAGGGGAGGAGACGAGGGGGAAGGGGAGGGGGACGAGGGAGGAGGGAGGAGGAGGACGGGGGAGGGAGGGAGGACGAGGGGGAGGGAGGGAGGACGAGGGGGGAGGGAGGAGGACAGGGGAAGGGGAGGAGGACGAGGGGAAGGGAAGGGAGGGACGAGGGGGAAGGAGGGAGGAAGAGGGGGAAGGGGAGGAGGACGAGGGGGGGAAGGGAGGAGGACGAGGGGGGGGAAGGGGAGGAGGGGACGAGGGGAAGGGAGGAGGAGGAGGGGGGAAGGGGAGGAGGACGAGGGGAAGGGAAGGAGGACGGGGGGGGAAGGGAGGAGGACGAGGGAAGGGGAGGGGGACGAGGGGAGGAGGAGGACGACGGGGGGGAAGGGGAGGGGGACGAGGGGAGGAGGGAGGAGGACGAGGGGGGAAGGGGAGGACAAGGGGGAAGGGAAGGAGGACGAGGGGAGGAGAGGAGGACGAGGGGGAGGAGAGGGGGACCGAGGGGGGAGGAGGAGGACGAGAGGGAGGGGAGGAGGACGAGAGGGAGAGGGGAGGAGGACGAGGGGGGGGAAGGGGACGACGGGGGGAGGGAGGAGGACGAGGGGAGGGAAGGAGGACGAGAGAGGGAGAGGACGAGGGAAGGGGAGGACGAGGGGAAGGGAGGAGGACGAGGGGAGGAGGAGGACGAGGGGGAAGGGAGGAGGACGAGGGGAAGGGGGACGAGGAAAGGAGAGGAGAAGACGAGGGGAAGGGAGAGAGACAGAGGGGAAGGGGAGGAGAGACGAGGGGAAAGGGAGGAGAGACGAGGGGAAGGAAGGAGGACGAGGGGGAATGGGAGGAAAATGAATGGAAGGAGAACAGGAGAAGAGGAAGCAAACACAACCAATGTTAGCCATAGAATCATTATCTATTTTATGCTATCTACCTTTAACACGCATCCACCTGTATTTTGCTGTGTTAAATAGGGAGAATGATCACCACACACACACACAACCCCTCCTCCCCCACCCCCCCACACACTCCCCACCACACCTCCCCCACCCACACTCCCCCACCACACCTCCCCACCCACCCCCTCCCCACCCTCCCCACCCACTCCCACCCACCTCCCACACCCCACCTCCCCCACCCACACCTCCCCACACCCCCTCCCCCACCCACACACCCCCACCCCAC